CCCCCGTGTCCCCCACTCCTAACCTACAGCCTTCTGCCTCACCCTGGCCTATCCGGTGCCCCTCGCTCCCGACCCGCACTCCCCTGCCTCCTCCTAGCCTGACCGGTGCCCCTCCGCTCCCAGCCCGCAGCCCCCTGCCTGGCTAACTCCCCTGTTTTCTGCAGACAAGGAGGAGACAAAGCTGAAAGGTGTCATCTACTTCCAAGCCATCGAGGAGGTTTATTACGACCATCTTCGCAGCGCCTGGAAGGTGAGGGGGGTGGGGCATATCCTGGCCCCACCCCGCAGCTCCTGACTCTGCCCCCAAGGCTGGGGACCTGCCCCTATTGTCTGCCCATGGGATTGGAAACCCCCTCCTCCCCCAGCACCAGGCTCTGCTCCCTTATCCCTGAGATCCAGCTCCCTTAGGTCTTGGCTGTGTCCCTGTACCTACCTCCGCCTGCTAACCTCCTGCCTCCTCCCCTATCCCCCTGACCATGCCCCTTGAGCTCAGGGACCCCTGAGACCAGGAACTCTGTTCCTCCAGTGCCACTTCTCTGTGAGACCCCGCTCCCTCCTCGATCCTGGCTTCGCCCCCTCCGGCTCCTGACCCCGCCTCTCCCATGCCCCCTGCAGAGCCCCAACCCAGCCCTGACCTTCTGCGTGAAGACCTACGACCGCCTCTTCTGCCTGGTGGCCCCCAGCGCCGAGGCCATGCGCATCTGGATAGACGCCATCGTCACGGCCGCCGAGGAGAATGCCCGCTACTGACCCTGCCCCTGGCCGTGACCGTGGCCCTGCCCCCAGATGTGGGACCCTGGCCTTGGCTCCACCCACTAAGGGAGGCAGAGGAAGCTGGAGTGTTGACATCTCCTCCAAGGGCGAGGCTCATTGGAGTCTCCAAGGGAGGGGGGAGAGGCTAGAAACTTGGCCCCACCCTTGCTCGACTGCTGGTGGCAGAGAGGACACAAGGAGCTGAGTTGTTGAGTGTCTTCTCAGCCTGTTGTACCAATGGGAGGTGGGCTGGGTCCAATCGGAGTGGAGTACCAATGAGGATGGATTGGACCAATCAGAAGAGGTGGAAAGAGCTGGATCAATCCGTGTACGAGCCAAGTGTTTCCCACCACTCGTCTTCTAGCTGGGTGTGAAATCTGACCAAGGAGGAGACCTGTCCTTACCGACCAATAGCAGAGCAGCTTGTGGGACTCTTCCTACCCAATTAGAGAAAACGTGGAGGGATTCCTGGCCAATGGGAAGATAGAAGAACAGGCTCTGCCAATCAGCACCAACCTGGACTTTTCTCCTTTCCAAGTAGAGGGGATGCTTTGCCCCAGGAGCCAGGGCGGCATCCCCTGCTGCAATAATTCCCAGTTGTGTATACCATGTCTATCGGCCCCTGCTCCCGTTTATTGGGGTGGGGGCAGGTCCCTCTGTCCCGGGCATGGTGCCCGCTGGGGGCCCTGGGTATTTATTACAGAGCTAACAGGGATCTGTGTCTGTCTGGTTTATTCCACTTCCTGCCACACCCCCGGCCCTGCTGGTGCCACTCACTCCCAGCCCGCAGCCCTGCACCCCGCTCCTCGCCCCAGTAGTGCTCCTCACTCCTGACCTGCAGCCCCTTGGCCAAAAGGGCTGTCCCCCGCCCCCCCGGCCATGATGGTCACCACCTGGGCCAAGGTGGCCACTGTAAGGCAGTTTCCCCTGCTCCAATCCATCCCCTGTGCCCCAAAATGTGAAGAACCCCGGTGTCCGGGCTCCCGCCCGCTCCTGCCCCTGCCCTCCAGCCGCCCCCTGCCACGAGACAGAAGAGTGAGAGCCAAGTGGGTTTGGGAGCCCGGACACCTGGCTTCTCTCCAGCCCCGGGAGGGGAGCAGGGGGCTGGACTCATCTGGGCGGGTCTCATCCTGACTGGGGCTGGGGCACAGGGAGTGGGGTGGAGAGCGTACTAAGGGGGACAGGAGACCCCCGGTGTCCAGGGACGCCCTCCACCCCTGCCCACTGCGAGACACCAAGCCGCCCACGGGGAACCCAGGTGTCCCCCGCTCTCGGCGGGCTTTATTTTCCCACCCCCAGCAACTCCCTACCCCGGGGGGGGGGCGGGGCTTGTGTAAAACAGTTGTAGGGGGTCTTGAAGGCATTGTGGGGGGAGCGGGGAGACAGGAGAATCCACCTGCCCCAAGGGCTGGGCTTGATGCTCATGGGGTCGATGTGATCTCAGGGCCCCTCCAAACCCTCAAGGTGTGGAGGCGGAAGGGTAGGGGGTAAGGCGTCCACACCCTCCCATCGCCACGTCCACCCCAGGAGGTGCCATGCCCCTTGGGGGTGCTGGGGAAGAGGACCCAGGAGCTGGGTCACAGATTGGTGGGGGGGACAAGATGGCCACCAGGTGTAGGCCAAAGCCTGCCTGGGAGTTGAGTGCAGGGGGCCAGGGCTGGGAGGTGTAAGGGTTTGGGGAGGACAAGATGGCTGCCATGACTAGGCCAAAGCCTGCCTGGGAGCGAAGCCAGGGGCAGGGGAAATGGTCACCACAGCTAGGTCAAAGCCTTTCTGGGAATGAAGCATTTAGGACTCGGGCCGGCAGACATGAGAGACAAGATGGCCGCTGCGTGTAGGCCGAAGCCTACCTGGGAGTTGAGCACGTGGGTCTCAAGCTGGGAGCCAGGAGGGTGGCAGGGGTGGGGGGCCGAGGGCCCCCACGACTAGGCCAAAGCCTGCCTGGGAGTTGAGCAGTCGCGTCTCAGACCAGGAGACACCAGGGCGCGGGAAGGGGAAAAGATGGCTACCGCCACTAGGCCGAAGCCTGCCTGTGAGCCGAATACTCCTGCCTCGTGGAGGGGGCTCGTTGGTGGGTGGGGTAAAAAGAGGCCCCAGTCATTAAGGCCCCAGTCGTTAAGGCCTTAACGACCGTTTTAACCCCTGCGAGGGGCACTAGAGCCCAGGACCCCCCCACCCACCCTCGCCCCACCAGGGGTGCTGTGAGCCCGGACAACCCAGGAGTCGGGACACCTGCCCCGCCCCGGGGGCACCAGAGGCACACGAGGTTGCCGGGTGGGTGCCGCCCTCGCTGCCCCCGCAGTGACTCAGAGGCCCTGGGTGGGGACCCAGGCGTCTGGGCCTCGCCCGGCTTCCCGGGACCCGCCTGGGGGCCGCCTGCGCTTCTTGCCTGGGCCCACGCCCCAGAGCCGGGCAGGCCGGGGCAGGCTGCGCCCTGGCACCGCACACAGCAGGAGCCCAGGCGTCCAGGAGGCAGGAGAGCTCACAACGGACAGCAGTGTGTGCGCGCGCGCGTGTGTGTATGTGGGATGCCTGGGTTCCCTGTGTGTATGTCAGACTCCTGGGTGCCATTTGTGTGTGTGTGTGTGTGTGCGTGTGTGCACGTCCCACATACCTGAGTTCCCTGTGTGTATGTCAGACTCCTGGGTGCTGTGTGTGTGTGTGTGTGTGTGTGTGTGTGTGTGTGTGTGTGCACGTCCCACACACCTGGGTTCCCTGTATATGTGTGTCCAGGACATCTGGATTCCCTCTGTGTGTGTGTGTGTGAGACACCTGGGTGCTATGTGTGTGTGTGTACATGTCCCGCACACCTGGGTTCTGCGTGTGTGTGTCCTGCACACCTTGGTTCCCTGTGTGTGTGTCAGATTCCTGGGTGCTGTGTGTGCGCGCACATGTCCCACACACCTGGGTTCTGTGTATGTGTGTCCGTGTCCCGAGCTCCTGTGTTGTGTGTGTGTGTGTGTGTGTGTGTGTGTGTGTGTGTGTGTGTCGGACACCTGGGTAGTATGCCTATGTGTGCACGTCTCACATACCTGGGGGGGGGGGGGGGCCCCAGACCCCGGGGCCCCCCGGGGGGGGGGGGG